TAACTATGTAAGGGGCTTGTTTTTATAGGATAATTAGTGAAGGTTTCTCTGAGGAGATGTCATATGACCTGAGCTTTTAATAATAATAACAATAACAATAATAATAATAACCTTCAAAAGAGTCCTCTGATAGGTAGAGTCTGTCATTTTCATTATTTATATATGAGGAAAACAGAAGAACAGAGAGATTAAGTAACCTGCCCAAGGCCACACATTAGAGGGTACAAAGAGCATAGAAAGAGCCTGCTAGATATAATGAATAGCACCCACTATGGCCTTGAAAGTGGGAGAAGCAGGCTAGGTACACACACATACACACACACACACATTCAGGGCACTTCTAGAAGGCTGGTGTTGCTGAAGCATGATGAGCAGGCAGGGGAGTGGCAGTAGATGAAGTTGGAGAGGTAGCCTGGGGTCAGATCATGCAGTTGCTTTGTTGAACACTGCAAGGAATTTGGATTTTATTCAAAGTATTTTGGGAACCACTTATTGAAGGAATTTAAACAGAAGTGTAAATATGATCAAATTTGAGTTAAAAAAAATCTAGCTTGTGTGTCAAGAACAAATTGGAGTAGGCAAGAGTACAGGAGGTCAGTTAGGAATCTATTAGAAAAGTCCAGGTGAAACCTCATGGTATTTTGGTGGCAGTGGAGATGGAGAGAAGTGAGATGGTTTTAAAATATATATTTTTCAATTTTTTAAATTGAGATAAAACTCACATAAAATTTATCTTTTTAATCATTTTAAAGTATACAATTCTGTGGTTTGCTGTATATTCATAAAGTTATGCAGCTATTACCACTATCTAATTCTATAACATTTCCATCATCCCCCAAAGAAACTCCATACTCCTCAGTTCCCCGTTACCCCCATGTCCTGGCAACCACTAAGCTGCTTTCTGTCTCTATAGATTTGCCTGTTCTGGACATTTCATATAAATGGATTCATACAACAGGTGACTTTCTATTTCTGGCTTCTTCCTCTTAGCATAATGTTTTCAAGGTTCATCCATGTTGTAGCATGTATCCGTACCTCATTCCTTTTTATGGCTGAATAATATTCCATTGTATGGATTTTGTTTATCTATTAACCAGTTGGTGGACATTTGGGTTGTTGTTTCCATTCCTTGGCTATCATGAATAATGCTCCTATGAACACTTATGTACAAGTTTTTATGTGAACAGGTGTTTTCAGTTCTTTTGAGTACACCTAGGAATAGAATTGCTGAGTCATATGGTTTACTCTATGTTTAATTTTTGGGAAACTGGCAAACTGTTTTCCACAATAGTGGCACCATTTTACATTTCCACCAGCAATTTGTGAAAGTTCCAGTCTCTCTACATCCTTGCTAACCTTTCTTATTTTCAGTTATTTAAAAAAAAAAAAATTATAGGGGCTGGCCCTGTGGCCAAGTGGTTAAAGTTCCACATGCTCTGCTTCAGTAGCCCAGGGTTCGTGGGTTCGGATCCCAGGCACAGACCTACTCCACTCATCAGCCATGCTTTGGAGGCATCCCACATACAAAATAGAGGAAGACTGGTACAGATGTTAGCTCAGGGCTAATCTTCCTCAAGCAAAAAAAGAAAAAAAAAAAGAGAAACATTGGCAATGGATGTTATTAGCTCAGGGCCAATCTTCTGCACCGATATATATATATATATATAGCCATCCCTAGTGGGTGTGAGGTGGTATCTCATTGTGATTTTGATTTGCATTTCTCTAATGACTGATGATATTGAACATCTTTTCATGTGTGTATTGGCCATTTGTGTATTTTCTTTGGAGAAATGTCTATTCAGATCGTTTGCCCGTTTTTAAATTGGATTGTTTGTATTTTTATTACTGAGTTGTAAAAGTTCTTTATATATTCTGGATAATAGATCTTTATCAGATATATGATTTGCAAATATTTTCTCCCATTCTGTGGGTTGTCTTTTCACTTTCTTGATAGTGTCCTTTGAGGCACAAAAGTTTTTAATTTTTATAAAGCCCAATTTATTTCTTCTTTGGTGCTTGTGGGTTTGGTGTCATATTAAAGAAATCATTGCCTAATCCAAAGTTGTGAAGAATTTACACCTCTGTTTCCTTCTAAGAATTTTACATTTAGGTCTTTAATCCATTTTGAATTAATATTTGTATATGGTGTGAGGTAGGGGTCCAAATTCATTCTTTTGCATATGGCTATCTGGTTGTCCCAGCACCATTTGCTGAAAAGACTGTTCTTTTTCCATTGAAATATATTTTTGAAGTAGACACACTGGAACTTATTAAGGGAGTAGGTAGATGGTATGAAGGAGAAAAAAGAATCAAGCTGGGTTCGTGGTGGTAGCATTTACTGAAATGAGGGAGGCTGTTGTTATGATTTGGGGTGGGAGGGAGTAAGGGATAGTCAAAACTTCAGATTTTGAACTTAGTTGTCTGTGATGCTTTTCTGCATATTGTGTAGACAATTCAATGTACGAATTTGGAATTCCAGGGAGAAGTTTGAGGTGGAGATAAGATTTGGGTATCAGCGGGATATAGATTGTATTAGAGCCTTGGGACTGGTGAAGATCACCTAGGGAAAATTTGTAGAGGTAGACAAAAGAGAGCCCAATCTAGAGGCTAAAGAATGCTGAATAGAGACTGTAGAGGAAGAGGAATCTGCAAAGGATACTGAGAAGGAGAGACCAGAGATGATGGAGAAAAACCTAGAGTGTATGTCATGGAAGCCAAGAGAGGGAGAGGTTGATAATGCAGGAGAAGGTGAAGATAAGTGAAAGAGGAAAGTCCTTGTGAAGGTGAGAGCCAAAGGGACACAGAACACAAATGGAGAGATTGACCTTCAATGAGATAATGAGATGAGTGAATTCCCGGAGGGGTGGGGCAGGTAGTGGAGGAGGTGAAGGTGATTAAATCCAGGTAAGTTTGTGAATTTAGTGATGGAAGGATAAGAGAGTTCCTTTCCAAAAGCTTTTATTTTCTTAATAAAGTGTATTTCTCATCTGTTGGCAGTACATAAGCAAAGGACAGGAGCTGAGGGTAAGGGAAGTTTGAGGAGAGAAGAAAAATGTGCGGTAGTGGTCTTGGGTGGGGTAGAGTTTGGATCAGGAGATGTAATAGGTTTGCTATACAATGTTGAGTGTCTATTTGAGATTTATCATCATGAATTTAAAGTAAAATCAATTTATACAGTTACATGATTTTTCTCCAGGGATGTTTAGCTGAGGAATGCAGAGGAATGCAATTGGCAGATTGCTGTTCTGCCAATTGAGTCCAGTGGAGGAAGAGAGTGTTAAATTATATTTGCAAAGGGTTGATTATAATGATGGATCATGTAATCTGGAGGGTGGTGTTGGAAAAGAAGGGCGACTGATAGATAACTAAAAGGTGCTGGGTCAGTAGATTGTAGGTTGAAGAATTGGGGGACTACTTGAATAAATGAGATGAAACTATGTTAAAGTATATTTAGTGAATGGATATTCTAATTTGAGATTTGGGGGTTGGTGCAGATCTCTGGCATACCCACTGCAACAAGTGATTTGAGATGGAGTGGATGAAAAGGCGTTGGGGGTGACATGGTCTAGGGATTGAGACACTTGGGTATTGGACGGATTCTTCCTTTAGATGAAATTGCCAAGAATGATGACAGGAGTTGGGGTGAGAAAGAAGACTGTGAGCCAAGAGCTCAAGACTTCAGTGAGACAGGAGATTGACTGGAAGGTTGGTGGATAACAGAAACAGAAAAGAAGAGGGAGAGGATGGTGTTGTTGGATGGCTTGGATCTCAAAGGAACAGGGATATCTGCAGGAATGGAGATGTAATAGTTTGGAAATAATAGGAACAAGAACACCTACTCCACCTCCTGGCCTTGAGGATTTGGAGGTTAAAAAGAAACAAGAAAAAATCTTCTGGACAGCAGAGGAAGCAGTATCCTCAATGGCTAGCAGGTTTCAATTAAGGCAGAGGGGATGTTTTTTAAGAAGTGATGATTTATGGAAGTTTGCTAATTAGTGCAGGAGTTCCAGAGGGGAGTGGAAGGTTCAGGAGGGAGGGGGGTAGGTGTGTTTGTGTATAGAGAGAGAGAGCAGTGTGGGTGTGGTGGTTAGGGCAGTAATGGAAGACCTTGGATCCTTGAACTTTAGTGCAGATGACTGAAGTAAACAGAAGTACTGCATAGTGGGGCCGGCCCGTGGTTTAGCGGTTAAGTGCCAGCGCTCCGCTACTGGCGGCCCGGGTTCAGATCCCGAGCGTGCACCGACGCACCACTTCTCTGGTCATGCTGAGGCCGCGTCCCACATACAGCAACTAGAAGGATGTGCAACTATGACATACAACTATCTACTGGGGCTTTGGGGGAAAAAAAAAGGAGGAGGATTGGCAATAGATGTTAGCTCAGAGCCGGTCTTCCTCAGCAAAAAGAGGAGGATTGGCATGGATGTTAGCTCAGGGCTGATCTTCCTCACAAAAAAGAAAAAAAAAAAGAAGTACTGCATAATGGAATTAGTCCCCCATGGTCTCTGAGAAGGCAGATCTTTGGTTCCAGTGCTGCAGGCCTGAATGCTTCCTCAGAGAGTATGGCAGCTTCCCATGCAGCTTATCCCAAGGTCTCAAGGAATGATGTGGCAATTTTCAGAGAGGGCAGCTGATGCCCGGGTCTAGTGGTGACTTTTCCAAGGTCACACTGAGTAAGTAGCAGAGCAAATCTCCTGACACCAAACATCAGGTCTGCTCACCACTCTGATTTGTTTATTTAGCTGTAGTGCTCATTTACCTTACTGCTGGCAGTGCTGGATCTGTTAGACCATTAGGAAATGAAAATTAAAGAAAAAAAAAAAAAACCTTAAAACTAGACAGTGTTTCCTTTGGGACCATTCCAGTCTCATAAGCAGGTCTGTGCAAAAAGTATGAAAAATGGCTGTGCTGCACACAGGCCCTGGAGAGCATCATGGTGGCCCAGTAGGGGCTGCATGACTGTGACTGTGTGCTTTACCCTCATGCATGTGCTCTGTCCGCAGGGTCATGTAGGCACAACAGCAACCAAGAAGATTGACGTCTACCTCCCCCTGCACTCGAGCCAGGACAGACTGCTGCCAATGACCGTGGTGACAATGGCCAGTGCCAGGGTGCAGGACCTGATCGGGCTCATCTGTTGGCAGTACACAAGCGAAGGACGGGAGCCGAAGCTCAAGTAATCCTTCTTTTTGGTTGCTCTAGTTTCTGGCTGTTTCCCGGCCACCTATGCTGCATTCTGGGCCTGGTCAGTCTTTCTAGGTATTGGCCTGAGAACCAGACGTCCACACTGATCCAGGTCAGGTTGCTCCCCAGATCTTGGGCCTGTGTACCTCATGCTTATCTCAGAGAATCTGCTTGCAAAATAGATTGATAAGTTTGTGAATCCGGACATGAGGACATACATTGTAGCAGTTCCCAAACCCTTTTGTGATGCTTGCTGGTAAAAGCAGTGTGGGAGGTAGTGGGAGGGAACTAATGTTGGTTGAACAACTGCCATGAGCTGGGCACTGTACTGGGCACTTCATACCTGATTTCTCACTTAATTCTCCCGGCTCCTTGTGAGGTGAGCATTCTGCTCCGTATTCTGCTGAGGAGGAAACTCAGGGTGAGAGAGTGGTTATTTGCTGAAGGTTACACCAATGGGAGACAGCAGAGTCAAGCTTTGATTCCAAGTCTGTTTGATGCCAAGGTTTTTGCATTATTTCCTTTTGGTCTGAATTATAGTTTTCTTTGTTATCAGTCAGTGGCTCAGTTTTTCTCTCAATCTCTAGGCTCTATTCCTCATTAAACAATTATGTTAAAACTGTAGTGAAAGTAGGGTCTCTGTGTGTACATCATAACTTGAACTTGAGAATGCTTCACTGCCTCGATTCTCCCATACTTGAATTTCTTATCTGACAGCCATCCTCTTCTAGTTTCATGTGCTCTTCCCAGCAGTAGGGTTTGGGGTACAGCAAAATGGATGCCTTCCATTTGTGCGTGCCTTCATTTTGGAAATATATTCTCATGGAGGCTTTCTCTTCTCACATTTTCAGAGTTAGAATGGTCCGATCTGCTGTTGTTTTTTTTCACTTAAATTTGCTCTTAAAATTATTTTTTCAAGGGCCGGCCCCGTGGCTTAGCGGTTAAGTGCGAGCGCTCCACTGCTGGTGGCCCGGGTTCGGATCCCGGACGCGCACCGACGCACCGCTTCTCCAGCCATGCTGAGGCCACGTCCCACATAAAGCAACTAGAAGGACGTGCAACTATGACGTACAACTATCTGCTGGGGCTTTGGGGAAAAAAAAGGAGGAAGATTGGCAATAGATGTTAGCTCAGAGCCGGTCTTCCTCAGCAAAAAAAAAAAAAAGAGGAGGATTAGCATGGATGTTAGCTCAGGGCTGATCTTCCTCACACACACACACACAAATTATTCTTTCAAGTTCTTATTGACATTGCCCTCCACTTTGCCTGAATAAATTGTGGGTATAAAGATAATCTTTATTGCTCCTGTAGCAATAGAAAGCCTTTTCAACCAGGATACCACCTAGGCTCAGAAAAGGGTTGAGTCAGCAGCTCTGCTCAGATCTGAGCTGTGGTGGTGTGCCTTTTCAGCATGAAGTGGAAGCAAGAAAACAGGAAAGGGAGTCACCGTGCTGGTGACTTTATGTATGTTGTCTGAGTTAATCCTTAAAACATTGCTTAGTGCAGGAACTGAAAGAGAGGGAAAGGAACTTGCCGGGAGTTCCACAGCTAGTAAGTAACAAAGACGGGACTTGAACAGTGTCGTACATTTTACAGATGAGGAAACTAAAGCTTAGAGAGGCTAAGTAACTTTCCTAAATCACACAGTAAGTGATAGAACTGGGGATTAAACCCAGGAATCTCTGACTCCAGAGCCCCCACTCTTCACTTTTACCTTATACTCCCTTCCTTGAAACTCTGTTATAGGTGATATTAAAATATTTATTGAGTCCATAGTGACTGCAGGTATTGTGCTAGATCTGGAAATAGAGAAGTGAAAAAGGCAGTTCATGCCATCAAGGAGCTTATTGTCTAAGATTAGTAAGCAATAATAATATAACAATAAAAACACAAAGTAAAATCAGATTCTGTGAGAAGATCTGACCCCATATCGGGTGGTGAGAGTGGAGTCATGAAAAGCAGCCTTGATTAAGTGACATCTACACTGAAACCTGAAGGAGGAGTAGGAAAAAGTGATGCAGAGAGGTTGAGAGGAGGGTAGTCTAAACAGAGGGAAGAGCATGGACCTCTGGGTATGATGGCCCTTTACATTCATGCTTCAAAGTCTGTATTCTGCTCCAAATACATAGTAATGATAAATGAAATGTGTTATTGACATAGTTGTACTTTAATAACAAGGTAAACACCCTCATGGACTGGAAACAGAACCAAGTACAGAAATAGGCAGAGTGTGTTAGGAGTTGATTCTTTTAGAGTATTATTTCCTAAAGAACATGCCGTGAATGAGTTTACCAGTGTGTGAAATACTGATTTTTCTCAGGCTTCAGAGCAGCTAGGCAGGGCCTAGAGGTCAGAGCCCCCAGCCATTATTTCTGTGTAGGGAACAGTCTCATCCATCTACCTGTGCGCCATTCACATACATTTTCTAAGTATACCATGATGTCAAAAAAGAGTGGGAAATGCTGTTTGAGGGTATGGGGACCAAAGGAACTTCATACCTGGATGGGGACAGAGGGAGTCTCACTGCTGGAAACTAGGAGCTGGGGTGGGACTGTCCTACCTATGAAAAGAAACTGAACCAAGTTGATTGGGTCTGTGGCTTGTTTAAAGTTGTGTTCCTGGGGTGGCAGAGGAATAGAGATAGCAGTGTGACCAGGACCTGGCCATGATGTGCCTGGGTTTATGATATCCCTGGTGTTGCCAAAGGATAGGAACCCTGAGCTGCCAATATAATACCTGGTTTTAGACTGGAGGCCTCTGATCGGACAAGGATGGAAGATGGGGGCCATGTCTATAAAAGCACTAGACAGGAAAGGGTGAGGGGGAAGGGGGAGAGAGAGAGAGAGAGAGAGAGAGATAGAAAGTATTCCTATTCAAGAAGAGCTAGCAAATAAAATTCCAAAGCAAATGAGTATAACTAGTACTAAGAAAGAAAGACAATATAATATAGTTCACTCCCAACAAAATATAATAAAGCAATCTGAAAAATAATTTCAAGTAAATATGTTTAAAATCATCAAAGAGATGAAGGAATAACATCCATGGTAAACTTCTAGGAAATTGTGAAACAAAACTGAACAGATGAGGATCAAGAGGTGGATTTAGAAAAGAACCAATTAAAAGTACTGGAAATATAAAATGCAGTAAAAAAAAAGAGTGTATGAGATAAACTCTAGACTGGGCCAAGTTAAAGAGGGAATGAGTTGAAAGAAGGGACTAATGAATTCAACCTAGCAGATGTAACACAGAGATAAAGAGATACAAATAATGAAAGATGAGTAAGTTAAGCAACATGGAAGAAAGATTGAAAACCTCCCATGTGTGCAGCAGAGAATGGAGGGAATAGCAGAGAAACAATATTTGAGAGATAATGCCAGAGAATTTCCCAGAATTGAAAGCAGATATGAACGAGTCTTTGTATTAAAAGCACATACAAATTAAATGGAGAAAAGATAGCCTTTTCAACAAATGGTACTGGAGCAATTGGACATCCATAAGCCAAAAGAATCAACTACAACCTAAACCTCATACCTTGTGTAGAGTTAATTCAAAATGAATTGTGACTTAAATGTAAAACTATAAAATTTTTAGAAGAAAACGGGAGAAAATCTGGGATTGAGGGCTAGGTGAAGAGTTCTTATACATGACACTAAAAGCATGATCCATAATAGAAAAAGAATTGATAAATTGGACTTCATTAAAATTAAAAACTTTTGCTCTCCAAAAGACCCTTATTTCCTTCTCAGTCCAAAAGCCGCCACGCAGCCATTCCTCCTTCCTCTTTCCCAGGGGCCAGAGTCTTCAGCTTCACTTGGCCAACAGGGATGGAGGTTGCGGGTGTGGGGAGCAGTGGCAGTGAGTCAAACAGAATTTAAGGCAAAAAACATATCAATAGAAATATTTTGGTAAACCGTATAATGAAAACAGGAATAGCCCACCAAAATAATATAATAATTCTGACTATGTATGCATCTAGCAACATAGTCTCGTATTTTAAGGGAATTATAAAGAGGCATTGACTGATCCACAGACAAAATGGGAAATTTCAATACATTCCTATCAGAAATGGATAAAGGAAGCAGACCAAAAATTAGTAAGGATAAGGAAGATTCAAACAATTTAATTAGCAATTCTGAACCCCCAAAGTAGAGATTATCTTTTATATTAGCTCGTAAGCCTCTGAAGTTGAGTACATCTTAAGATTTATATTCCTGAGTGTACCTAGCATGTTGATGTTTTTTAATAGTTGCTCTGTTTGTACGTAAGTGTTGGAATAGATCCTTATTTGATCTTTTCCAGTGGATTGACCCTGTGGAAGAGCTCTTCATTCACAGGGGACCAAATTGCTGGATGAATGGGAGAGCTTCCCTCCAATTCACTCTGGTTGTCAAGAAAACCATTTATTTAAGAATATCATTCTCCTGCCTCTGTGCCTTGATAATGGTCTATGATAGTAGGCTTTGGCCCCAGGGAAGGAATGGAGGATTTGGCTGGAATTCTTGGCTTCCTCTTATACCTGTTAATTCTTGAGCAAGATTGGAATATGGTATTTAAGCTGATTCCTTGCTTATTTTGATGCACTGATTTTAGGGGAAACATTTGGAAGAAACTAACTGAAATAATTTCAATCTCTAGGTAGTTGAATTTTTTAATTTAAACTTTGTTAAATAGATTCATGTTTATTGAATTTTTGTCAGAAAATGTGACCTATACAATTTCTACTTAGAGATTTATTTATATTTTGGGGACTTACTATACAATAAATTTTTATAAACAGTGGATTCTGGAAAAAATTATTCTCTATAGGTTACAGAATTCAATATATACTTATAAATCACATCTTATAATTACTATTATGTTCTTACATTTTTTGACTATTTGGTCTGTGGATGATTAAGAGAAATGGATGAAAATTTCTATTTTCTTGTGCATTTGTCAATTTCTCTTGAGATTTCAACAGTTTCCACTTTATATATTTTAGTGTACAAAAAA